TTTTTTTTTTTTTTTTTTTTTTTTTTTTTTTTTTTTTTTTTTTGAGAGAGAGAGAGAGAGAGAGAGAGAATTGGTCCATGGCTAAGTATATTGGAGCATTGTACCTTTGAAGGTTTGTTATTGCTGAATAGACTTGGGAATTTTTTGAGAAACAAACATGATAAAATACTGTAGGTTGCAAACCTTTAGAAAACTATAAGCCTCTTTTGGACCACAATAGGTAAGGATGAGAATGATCAGTTTTCTAACTGATCCAATGACAAGTTTAAAATAAGGATAAATCTATTTAAGTTAGCTCAACATCGACTCACTGCTCGAATTTATTCAATTTCAAACTAGCTCAAATAACTCGAAATCATTCATTTTGTATTTCAAAGTATTTTAAAATAATAATAATATAAAAATAAGCATGATTATAATAAACATGTACTTTTATAATAAGCTAGGAAAAATTATTCTGTACAGACACCGGACCGTCCAGAGACGAATCAGAGCACACCACATCACTTGATACATAACGAGTACACAATAAAGGGGTGACATGGCGCGCTCTGTTTCGCCACCGAACAGCGTAGTTAGGCCCTTTTGACTCATCCAATCTCAATTCAATCTTCGAGCAAAAATCTTAGCCTTAGCAACAGCTAAATAACTCTAGCCCTGTTATCTTCACAGTAAGTCTCAATATTACCTACAAAGAGTTCATCACATAAAGGATAACAGGATCATTTTTGGAAAAAAAAAAACTACAAATCCTACCAACCATTGAACAATGTTAGCTAAAATTGAAGAGAGGAGAAATTTTGTACTCTTCTCTTTATTCAGTTGATATTTGTACAAAGATCATTGGTATGTTCTCAAAGTCAGATCCAACCCGTGAGGCCTAATTTCTCAGCAACGTTGTACATTACAAGGTCCTTCCACACCGGACCAAAGAGCCGCTCGCCTCCTATTGCAAAAGTAAGAGCCCAAGAAGAAAGCACAACTGTGAAGATTAAAAAACCAATTGCTGAACCAACAACATCTGCATGAGAATTTCAGTTGCTTTATAAGATTCAACAAAATAGCTTATAATGAAACGGAAATATTTCAGGGTTAGTTCAAAGTATAGACTATATGATTGGTGCTGTAATTGGAAGAACAGATTTATAAGAAACCATTCAAAAAAGGTTGTTAGGGCATGTTTTGATGGAAAAGGTAGGCTTCAGCTAGCACAGATAAGGCTTCATTGGGACGGTTTTCTTCATGCTTTTTAAAGCGACTTTCAACTGCTAAAATTTAAATTTTAGTACTAAAAAGTTGCTTTAAGAAGTAGGAAAAAAGCCATCCCAAATGAAGCCTAAGTTATAGTCCTTATAAAACACACAAACCAATCACAAAAACTATGACAAATGGCACAAAAGACAAGTTCACAATCAAATGCCCATGCAATGTATTTATTCCATGGTACAGTTATGACGAAAATAAAACACTAGACAGTCGCCAGATTCAACTGATAAATGTTTGAGTATGCAATTAAGGCGTTTGGGACAGCTTTCCTAATGCTTTGTAAAGCAATTTTTTAGTACATAATTTTTCAAGAAAATTTTGTACTAAAAAACTATTGTAAAAAACAACAAGGAAGCTATCCCAAATGAAGCGTAAGACTTGATAGAATATATAACAGGTGAAAAGCTGATAAATTTGACTTAAAATTAAACTTTAAAAGATATTTAGCTTCTTGTTACATAGATTACAAGTGACAAAAATAATGATTCTGTAAATGTTCCAAATGCCCCGGTTGTAAAAAGACCCGCTACCACAAAGAGCAAAGATTAAAAGCTATGACTTATCTCTCTCATTTTTAAACTAGACTTGTCGTTAACAAGCACAAAGAGCTAGATGAAACAATCTAAATAATTGAATTTCAAAGAAGACTGCAACCGAAACATTTGCAAGGATTTATCAGTAATTGCTAAGCAAAACAAGAACAAAGATATTCAGGATTAAAAATGTCACACAATTCAACAAATATATATATGTATATATATATAAAATAGCCTAACCGTAATTACTTTATAATTAAGTAAAATGTTCAAATATTAACTTCGAGAAAGAAATTTAAAAAAAAAACGTTGCAAGTAAAGTGGACATCATATTCCCCAAACTTGATTCAGTTTAACATCATGAACTCATCTCTCACGCCTGTCTGCACGTCATTTAGAAGATTCCCCATAACCCTAGGAAAACAAACAATTTAATGCATACAATTCAAAAGGAAATTCCTAAACAGCCCCTACTTTGAAATTTCCCTCCCAACTCCTTTCAAAAACTTTCCTAAATAGCTACTTAAGGAGCTAGCAGTCGGCTCCTGCATAAAGGAGGCGGAGGCAAAAATTCTTCCGCTATTTCCTATAAGCCGGTCCCATATGGACCGACTAGACTAGTCTAACACACTCCTTGGGATTTTCCATGTATCTTCTAGCATGTTTTTTTTATGTGTCTTGATTTCTTGCAATAGCTAAACCAAAAGGGGTCTTTGTCTTTAGATTTTGAGAAATCCTTACACTTTTTCTTCCATAAAGCCTCTTTGGTTGATAACATTGTTGAACCTTCAACTACTTTTGGTTCCAGCATTACCCCTTGTTAGCTTTCCTTAGCACGAATTAGAGAAATGGTCTCGTTTAATGAAGATGTCTTCTCTTTGCCAAGAATTTGAACTCTAACTCGATCAAACTGTGCATTTGATCCTACATACACTCTATCTTTCTCAATAATTTTTTTAGTATAGCAGCATCTTCTGGACACTTGGTCTCTATGCATCTATAGTGATCAAATTCTTGCCACAAGCTTTGAAGGAGAATGGAATATTCAATCACGATCTTGCTTCCTTATTTTGTGCTTCCTATCTTGACTTTAATTTTGAAAACTTGTGCAGCATCCCGTGCTTTTGAGAATGTTTGCCTGGCGGCATCTCATATGTCACATCTACCATTCTCAAAACTTACATTTATGGTCGAGTGGTTATAATAGGATACATCAAACTTTGCTTTAAAATAATCTTCCTCACTTATAGTGATTTTACACCAAAATCTATCATTTAAAATAATCTTCCTCTTCTTTACCCTCAAACTTTCTAATTTCAAACACAACTCAGTCATTGTCTTAAGGTGAACATAGCCTCCAAAGGTTATCTCGACTCCAACATGCTCTACAAAGTCAAATAGGTAGTGACAAAACTTATAATTGCAGGCCTAAGTATTTATTTCTTTGAAAATTTTCTCATAAGTGTCAAAATTTAAGAATTATTATATATAAATTTACTTATCTTTTTTTGTTGTGCTTCTGTCAGTTCATTCTTATGTTGTGAAAACTTCCTAAGTCTCTCAAGGATTAGGTCAATACGATGTGTAACACAAGGGATCCAATTAAATATTTCCTCCTCTTCATAAGTTTTGCTCTTGCAGCCTCATAAAAACTAGCATTGCCTGTATCACCTAAACTACTAAGTGTTCCCTAATCTCCTAAATAACAATATCAAGCTTCTGCTTTTTTTATCTGACCATCCACTGTTTGTCATGTAACCATGTCTGGCCTCAAATTCTCTTAATGTCCTCAATACTTCTCTCACTATTTGTCAACTCCTTCAAAATCTATATTCTCAAGTCAAACATGGATGAAGGTTTCAACGCTTGTCCATACACTCCAATTGAATGGATCATATTATAGTAGGAAGGGAAGGTTATTAACATTAAATGGGATACCATTATCATAAGAAAATCAACCTAATCCATGTATACAGGTATCCGTGCCTCCCTGACATTCTTTGGGGTCAGCTTCTGCGCAGTAGAACGCCTATCTTCTTGTATATCCTCTAATGTGTTCGTCATATACTGATCCATGAGACCCCTTGCACCTCTAGAGGACATAGGTTACAATAAAGAAGATGAATCTAGAATGTTGCGCTCGCTCCTATAGTGCAAGTCAACATCAACTCTGTCATTAAACTGTCACTGTGTTAAGTGCTTTGACATTGTGAATTATTCATTCATGTTTTGATCTCCTCCCTTTACGGTATAAAGCACTTTGGCACATGGTATGATATTTTTGTGTGATAAGTACATTTGCTCCTTCATCCTGGTAACACCACCTTTCATCACTTTCTCATAATAGTTACATTTCAAATATACGTAAGTTTTGTCACTTCCTCCCATGTCAACTTGACTGCTATGTTTCTATATCGGGTCCTTCCCATGACCCGACATGATTTTACCTTTGTCTCTAATCATCTTCTATAAAGCCCTACAAAATGATTCAAAATAAATTAATTAAAATGCAAAATTTATGTTAGCCCACCACAAAGAGAGAAGATAAAAGAGTTACCAATAATTAAATGACTTGATAAAAACAAGTTTTGATATTTTAGCAATTATGAACATTAATTGTTATTATCATTCTTTCTATTATTATATGCTTGCTTTTATCCCGTGTGGTCCATAACAGTTATATTTTTCTCCTTTTTTTTGTATTATAGCCCTGACAAGCGCATATGGACTTGTGCAGCATAGAGATGGACGTTGGGAGTGGGCTATTGCCCCAGGGGTCTCTCGTTCAACACGTACCAACATGCAGTTGTGAGGGTAACTCTTGGCTTTCTCTACCATATTTCATAACTTCATTTGCCATAAACAAAAATATAATTATCTCACTAAAACATTCAATTAGGTTTTTGTTGATGCAAGGCTTCATGTATTTGGAGGGACTCTTGGTGGCAGTCGCATGGTAGAAGATTCATCCAGTGTTGCAGGTGTTTGTCATGCTATGCGAGTTTAATAATATTGTTTTGGTTCATTTGCTTTTTGTGATTGTTTGTTGATTTGGCATGGTTGTGCATGGGACTAACTCAAACATTAGCACTTGAATTTTGCCTTAGAAGGGCATAAGGAATGGAATACACAAGGCAGAGGAAGTGGGAAAAGAACTAAATTAAGGATAAACTCAAAAAAGAAGTAAAACTTATATTATTTTTCATCAAAAAGATCCCAAGTAAAACAACATCCAACCATATATACTCTCACCTACCAAAAAAAGGGGCAGCCATACCTGATACTTTGCCAAAGCACTCGAAGGAGGTGGAGAAGGCTCTTCCCAAACTCTACTTCATGCATAGCTGAATCAGCCGAAAGAGGCGAGGTATCTTTTAAAACTCTTTCACGCATAGTCGAAGGAGCGCTAATGGAAAAGCAAACCACTAACAACCTAGGTCTATACTCGAACTAGAGTCTTTTATTAAAAAAAAACAAAAGTATCATTTGGTCAGGTGTACGCCTAACAATAGTGAGGTAAGGCACGCCTCCGCCAAATTGAGATGTACACCTCACAACTTGAACTCGAGGCATGCACCTTGAAATGTTTTTGTTCGAAATTGCATTGAGGCGCACCTCATATTGTACTATTTTAAACAATATTTCATCGCCAATCTTCCGAATTTAATTTGGCCATCAAAAGACATCTCATAACAGTCATAAAAGACAGTCATCATCTAAAATTTTCTCATAATTTTTAAGTTCAACGGGCTTAATTTATTCTAAATTAGAATTTTTATTATGCATTGGTTTTGTATATAACTATTTTGTGATATTTAAAGCAAATAATGTCATGGCTCTTATGGTTGGATTTAGGAGGAGTTTTGGGTTGGTATACACCAATAGATGATAAGGTAATGAAAGTTGAGACAAATGGTCTAGCGGTAAACCTAGATTTGAAAATTGAATAGGATGAATTCATAGGCTTTGTAGAAAGGGATACTTTTATTTGTTTCTCAATCATCAAGAAAAAATGAAAAATATCTTCTAAAATATGGGGATCCTGTGATTTAACTTCATTCCCAATTTTATGGTAGATTCTAATAACAAATTTAGTAGCAAGTTGTTAATCAGGGTTTGTATAGTTCGTCCTTACTAGGAGGGAATCATAGGTATCCATGTAGTCAATCACATGAATAGTTCCTTATATGAAGATCAACATATGACCATGTAGATGTCTGTCATAAAACCTAAGATAGTACTTCAAGAGAAAGATGAGAAGTAAAAGACTTTAGATGAGAAAGAGGAAAATAAAAAGTATATCTGTAATTAGAGTGAAAATGAGGTAAATAGATCTTCTAAAAGAGGAGGAGGGCATAAAACCACTTACATCCCAAGCCTTTTTCAATTGTTTGTCTTTTTTATAAAATCCTATTTAACCTTGAAAACATAATATTTAGCACAATATATTCTAATGCATGAAAAAAGAAAAACAAAATTATGAATTTTATAAGCAATCAATCCTTTTAAATAATAATAAATGCACAAAACTTATAAATTTTAAATAATAATCACAAAAATATTTATAGTTATCTTATCTTAATTAAAATTCAATATAAGGCTTTGTTTATCGAACACACCATTTTTATTTAAGAAAAATTGAGAAAAAAATTTTAAGCTATGGTAGATTTGCACAAAAGTTGGGTTAAGTTTTTTTGGTGAGGGTAATAACTTGGATAAAAATAAATTCATATGAAGTTGTCAATTCACATAAGATTTTCTTTTAATAAAATACCAAAAAAATTATATCTTTAGTATAGCAATAACAACTTTTTTGAAGAAGAAACAAGTATTAATTGCAAAGCATTTCAAATTCTTTAAGTTTTGAAAAATCAAATCCTACCATGAAAATATCTTATTTTTGTCATGGGCAACATGTGCCTTTGGGCTCCTTGTCATTGACTTCATTGTAACCTTTGACTCTAATAATGATATAATGTAGTTCGGGTCTATAGAATCTTTATACCAAAAGCAACAAACTGAATGGTATTCCCTTAGAGTGGTCAAGGATTATGTGGGTGGTGGTGAAAAAGGTATTCAAGATTTAGACAGATTTGAGGTTGAAAATTTTATGCTATCAAATGATGAGCTTTTATTATAGGAAAATGGTGAAAAACTCCAGATCTAAAATTTAGTATTTTAAAAAACTAATGTTGGTATTTTCATGAATTTTAGACTAATGGTTAAGGAGTTCTGATATTTTTAATCTAGTTCCTCATTAAAAAATATTAATATTAGACTTTTGGCTAAGGGTATCTCAAAATTATCAAGGAGTTGAGAAATTAGGAGGTTATAAAGGATGTGATTAAATGTTTAGGAAAATTTTAAAGAGATTAAATGTATTTTGGGGCTGAGCAAAAATATATTTTGGATTATATAAAGGAGAAAAGAATCATATACTTAGAAAGTAGTTGAGAAAGAGTGGGAAAAAAAATAATTAAGAATCTATCAAAATCTGAGGAGATCAGCCACTAAACTTCATCGTAGAACAACCAAGTTTTTTCATATAAAATTTGCACCTGTAAAAAGTAATTTTTATTCAATGAATTCAAAAATATAAAGAAATATCTTATTTATAGGTTTTTTCAAGCCCAAATAAGTTTGAAAAGATTTATGAGCTTATAAAATATTATTATATAGATTAATGATTTGTCTTATACAAAAAAGATTAAAAAAAGAAATAAAATAAAATTTAAAGATTTCAAAAAATATAAAATTTCGAATTGATCAAATAAGGTGAGTGGAGTGATACTCAAATCAAGCCATTATTAAATATTATTTGCTTTAGTGATTGGTATGATTGACTTGCCCATTAAGAGAATTTAAATTAACTTTCTTCGTTATTCTCCAGGTCGATTGTTTAAAGTGATGGTAAAATAGATGGGGTAATATTAATAGTAGCATTCAAATTAGATTGTTGAAGTGGAGGACAGGACTGCATCGAGACTGCTGTGTGATAGAAAAATACACCTCGAATTATGAGAAATTTTATAAGATGGTGGTGAGACCTGCAATGCTTTATGGCTCAAAATATTGGTCATTAAAAGAGAAGCATAAAATGAAGTTAATGTTACAGAGATGTGAGAACGCTCAGGTGGATGAATTATTTTACACTTGGAGTCAGAATGTGAAACGAGTATATACGTGAAAAGGTTGGAGTAGCTTCAGTGACAGATAAAATTAGAGTCTCCTTAGATGATTTGGTCATATAAAATGTTGGCCTTCCGATGGCCCAATTAGGAGAGTAGATGTATTAGATTCGGCCTACGTTAAAAAAGGTAGAGGTAAAACTAAAAAGACTTTGTTCGAAAAAAAATAAAAAAAATACTTTTTTTATTAGATTTAAATGAGAATTTGACCCTTGATAGGACACAATAGAGAAAAAGGATTCATGTAGATCCCACATAGTATGATAAAGGCTTGTTGTTATTGTTAGTTATTTTCCAATGATTTTAATATTATTATGGGTCATCTATAGGCTTGCATAGAGAGTTGAGCATGAATAATGACCTAAATCTTAATAAAGTGTCTTATTTTGTGACATCAACATTGGCCTTTGTATCGATGATGCATCTTATAATTTTCAGTATGAGTTTATAATCAATAAACTATAAGGTCAACTTGTTTCTTAATAATATAAGGACCTGCAAATGTGAATTCAAGTTTGTTGAAATCTGAATATTGAGCTAATGTATCTACTCTTTGAAGGATAAGAATACTATGACAATTTTTTTTCTATCATTGGCAACATAATACTTTGCAACTCATCTTTTGACATCTTCTAGGAGAGGGTTGAATAGTTAGTTAACATAGTAGATCAAGACAAGTTGCAATCCTTCATTTAGGTTTCTCAAAACATCAAATTCTATTTCTTAAACATTTGACGCTACAACAACTCTTTGCCTATGAAAATTATACTCAATTCCAAGTGATAAAGCAAAGTGTGGTTCATCAATTGATAGAAATGGCATGGTTCGCAAAACCTATAATATCAACGTTAATATTTCGGCTCAATTGCCTTGGCACCTACAACCTTTTACGTAGGAGATTAAGGATTTAGTAAAAGCTGTGAAGATCTTATTATATTTCTATGCCATAAAATATAAGACTGATCTATCAGCATGTGCTTAACTCATCCTTTAAATCCGTTCACCCCACCTTCTTCTTTTCATGTGTTTAGGTCAAGATTCATAGTAACAAAAATGACTACAATTAAGTAATATAAGTCTAGCTAGTTGATAACTATTTAGGATTGGGCAACACTTAATGGTTCTAAATCGAGTATAAGTTCATTTGACAAGTTCTTTATGATGAATTTCATTTGGTGAGTTCAACAGTGATTTCTCTTGGTGAGTTCCACTAGTGAATTCAACATTAAGGCATAAGCCTTGGGTGAACTTCATGACTTCAGTTGTCAAGTGTCACAGGCGAGTAGGTCCTTTCACTTGGCAACTTCAGCAAAAAGGCAAGTGGATTTATGCAACTAGATCAAGAAGTTTCTCTTAGACAACTTGAGGATTTAGAAAATTGGTCAACGCTGCGATTTTGTTGGAGCCAATTCAATTTTCTAATATCACTTGATTAACTTGACCTAGTGGATTATGAGTGTACATGCCAAACATGCCTATCGACTGGTTTCTCCGCTCAGAAGCAGGAATTCGCAATTTACTTAGACTGAGCAACGTAGATCCAAGCAATGACATCAACAATCCCATCGCTTCCAATCATTTCACAAAAAACAAAGTTTTCAGATAAACAAACCCTTCCCCAAAAAACAAGGAAAACCAAGATTCTGATCAAGAGGTACACTTACAATGCCGAATCCGTTGGAAGGAAGAAGAGGAGGACGACCGATTGCGCAGGACGGGCCAGAAATAAAAGCAGTTGACGGCCCAGAGGAAGGGAAGGAGGAAGAATCCCCACCTGAAGAAGCTGCGGGCGTATTCCAGGGATCTCTCCTCCGATAAACCTAATGGACCATCCACGGTCGGCCACATGACCGGTTCTCCGTGGCCTACAGCCCCGCCGCCACCTGAGGCAACGACGCGGTGGATCAAGCGGTCCGAGGCTTGCCTCTCCTCGTCGTCTTCTTGTTCTCTCCTCTCCATAACAACTCGCTTCTCACTTCCGTGCTGTTGAAAGTTCGACGAATGTCCTGTAGCTATATATATATATATATTAAATTACAGCTACTACGACGCGAAAAACATTTTGTAAATAGAATTTTTATATTTTTAACAACAGAATCAACTTTTGTTATTTTTTAAATGATAGAATCAAAGAAATATTTCTCTCTCTTAAAAGTTGATAAGAATATTCTACTTTCCATTTAGATAATTGTTAATTTATAATCAAAACGTAAATTATAATTGAATTTTAATGAATTTTAATGAAATTGATCATTTACGGCCCTTTTTAATCAGAACATTTGAAATTGCAGATTATTTATATACCCACATTTTCATATATGTGGGTGGTGGTAAGTATGGATGATTAAAATTTTTTTGGGATGGCAATAATATTTTATAAAATTAGTTATGAAATTACTTTAGATAAATTAACTTACATTTTATTTGAGCTAGATTTTATTATAATTTTTTTAACTATTTAAAAAAAAATTACACAAGAAAACTATCTCATGGCTTTATTTGGGACTGCTTATTCATTGTTTTTAAAGTAGTTTTTTATTATAAAATTTTTTTGTACTAAAAAATTATTTTAAAAAGCAGTAAAAAAGTCGTCCTAAATGAATCCTTAATTATTACTGTGATTGAAAATAAATTGTTTACTTTAAAAAAAAATAAAAAAGTGAGAAAACATAAAAAATAGGAGCTAAAATAAAACTGTGCTTACTATTTATAGAACATAGAATCAAGAAAGCCGTCTCAAATAGACCTTAAGGGTTCATTTGGGACGGCTTGGCTGCAACTTTTCAAAAAAAAAAAAATTGGGAAATAAAATATTTTTTTGGAAATTAAAAAAAAGGTTATAAAATTATTGTGGAGAATATATCTTTTTTAGAAAGCAATATCCTACTATAAAACTTTTTGAAAGTAATAAAAAAATTATTATTATTATCTGAAAATAAAATAAATTAGAAAATTATTCCAAACAAGGACTAAGCTTTAGCTTTAGTAGTTAATTAGGAGAGTTTTAGAAGAATTTATAAATATGTATAATTTTTTAAAATGATTCTTCTAAGTGGAAAAAAAGATTTACATCAAAATATTCTAATTAAAAAATATCAATACAGATCTCAAATTTTTTAAATTTATTTTATGACAAATATAATATCAATTAATTATATATTATATTCATCCAAAGAAATAAAACTTTAAAATATATCTTAACAAAAAATTTAATGACAATTTTATTTTCCTCAAAAATAAAAGCATGTATAAATTTATCTTAATTAGTCTAACTGCCAAAAAAAATAAAAAGAAATTTTAAAAGAAAGTTATATGCATCTTTCTTATTAGGGGCTTTTTATAAAAAACGATAAACCAAAGCAATACTTACCATTTAAATAAGGGTGTAAATGAGCCAAGCCGCTCGCAAACCGGCTTGAACTAGACTCATTAACAAGCTCATGAATAAGCTTGCCAAACCATGAGTTCAAGCTCAAACCAAAACTCAAGCTCAGCCTAACTTGGTTCATAAGTTAGTTGAGCTACTCGTTTAAATTAAAATTTATTTCAAAATAATATCAGAAAATGTATACTATATATTTTTAACAAACTCGAGCTCTCCAAACAAGCTCTACTAATCAAGTCAAATCTACAAGCTCAATAATGAGCTAGATAACAGATTTGGTGGCCTTTTTTGTATGTGATGAAACAAAATATGAAGAAAAAATAAAAAAGTGAGGAAATACCTTTCATTATCCACTGTGTGCACAGTCCCAAGCCTTTATACTATACAGAATTGGTGTAATCTTACTTTACATATTAGATATTTTCTATCTGCGCCGAAGAATTAAAAAAGATCACACCAATGTGCCAGCAAGAATGTTTAGCAATGCTTGTCTTGGCTTCAACAAACTTCCTGATTGTAACCAAATTCAGATTTGGCCATATGTTGATTTGATTTCAAAGCTTTCCACATAAAAGAAGAGTGGAAATAATTGCCATTCTACAGTAGCTTATGCAAGTAAATCTGCAGCCGGGGGTCATCTCTTAGGTGAGCCATATGGAGTTCGGATTCTGAGTTCTGAAATGTCCAAAGAAGGATCTGTGAAATTATGGCTCGGCCTCATTTGATAGAGGTAATGGTTGCTTGGACCATAGGTGATTGCGCCAGCAGAATAGGCTGGATGGACAGGAGAAGGAATGCAGCTTCTATTATACTGTATATGCGGGTGTCGAGGGCTCGAACAGGGGGAGACAGGTAATGACATGTTCATTCTCATGCCCATAAGATCACTGCAAGAGAAATATAATTTGAGAGTTAGATCAAGGTGGAGAAGAAACTTGCAAGCTCCTAAAAGAGTGCTCATTGCATGAATTGTCAGTTAATAAGGGATTCAAGAAGACATTGATGCATGCAATTTCACATCAAAGTCATAATACAAGCAATCTAATCATTGTTTGGGCTTGCCTTGTGATGGAGCAGGGGGGGGCATCCAAAATTTAGAAAAGCTTGTGTCGGGCACTTACCGCGAGCAATTTCTCAAAAAAAATCTCAAATGGAATTTGCAAGCAAACAGTAAAGTGGTTAACTGATTCTGAATATAAATTCATCTCAAGTAAGGTTAAAGTTGCCCCCCTCCCCCGCATCCCTTAAATATTTATGGCTTCGTCACAGTAGAAAGTGCTGACTATTAATCTAAAGGATTGATTATGACGAAAATACTTTTTTTTGCAAGTTAATGTGGGCATTATAACTTTCTCTTTTGAAAAAAATCAAACGTAAGGCTTTTTTTTTATAGCTACCATACTCTAAAATATTTGACTATAAGAAATTACTTCCCACCACCAATACTTAAAAACAAAAACAGCAAAATAAGCAATAGCGAAAACAGCAAAATAAGTCATAGCGAATCAGCGAGTGGCGTGAATATGAAATACAAAGCAGTGAAAAAGCCACCCCAAACGGACCCTAAGAGATAAGAAGATAAATGTACCTTGTATTTTCATGTACCAGGGGGGCTGCAACACGATGTCCTACTTCATAGTTTTTATCACGCAGAGGAGAAAGACTTCTGTTGCTACGATAGTCCCTAGAAGCCAGTTCACGGTGTACATGCTCATAGTTTTTATCTCGTAATGGAGAAACACTCCTGTTGCTGCGATAATCCTTTGTAGCCTGCTTCAGAATGATTGGAGATATGAGATATAGAAGAAAAGTTAATAGAAAATCAACAATTTAATAATCCCCTCTGCATAGAGTAACATTATATGATATATTCAATCATTTAGCTATGGGAAACAAAATAAAAACAAGTTCATATTATGAAGAGATGCATCTATAGCTTTAATGACAACAAAAACTACCACCAGACTCCAAAGAGCAAAACCATGCCAAATAAAAAATGAGCATCAGGATATGCCTTGCTAGAACGATTAACATATCTCCATATAAAAACTATGTTCACAAGAAGATTAAAAAGCTTTTCCATCTCTTTGAATAAAACCATTTAAAATAGGAAACACTATTGAGGGGCGTGTTTAGCATACTAGTTATTTAAAAAAGATTAAGCGATTTAAATTTCTTACAAAGCATAGAAGTAAATTTTTGGGATATGCTCAGACTGAAGACATTAATTATCTCGTAATTTCTTGGAAACTTCTCAAGAGAAGGAATTTTCTATGGCATTATAAGAGTTTGGTTATCCAGAAGAGAGATTATTATAAGCTTGAACTCTTTGGAAGAGAACGAAACAGCATGAGGAATGCTCCACATCGTGGTATCTTGTCTGCTTTCAAAAAAATCATTTTTTCTAGCGGAAAAGCCAAGAAAAGAATACTGCCTGATAAAATTTATAACTCAATGTTATAATCTGGGAAAAATAGGTACTTTTAATATGGATGGAGCTAAGATACAAAAGTGCTTCCGTTGGAGTCTTGATTGAGAATCCAATAAAAACTATGGAAGGATATGGCTGTGAGTGTCCGCAGTTAATCATGAAGTTGAGGCTTCATTTGAAACGACTTTTTTATTGCTTCTAGGTAACTTTTTAGTATAAAAATTTTAATTTTTATACTAAAAAGATGCTTCAAGAAATAGTAAGAAAACCGTCCGAAACAAAGCCTGCGAATCACCAAGAAAGCTGTAGTAATGACCATAGATCCAAGTAATCCAAGTAAACAAATTGGGCATTGCGAGATGGCTCAAGCTCCATTGGTCGTTCAGGACTCATTTGGCACAATTTATCAATTCAACTATATTTAAAAACAAAGGATTAAACGCAAAAATAAAATGCTTGGATCAATAACTGCTTTTTCCATTACTTGCACTCACTTGTTACCAAAGTAGCTTGAAACATCACAAAGATTTCACACCTGCTCAAGGGCAATTCAGCAAAACAAAAAAAATAAACCCAAAATTATCATTTTCCTTTGTAAAGAATAATTGCAGTTTAGATTTTTTAGAGACCCACAACAATGATGTTGTTGAACTCTTTATGTGATTTATTTGAAGATCATATACTACATTTAGATGTTGGAATTTAGTGTGAAGAATATAATATTAAAATCATATCAAATGATTTTAGGCGATTGTGAAATGTAATTATAAATAAACTAATGCCAGTTTTGTTTTATTGATTCATAAACTGTTATGTGATACATTTGATATTATCCTTCATTATGGAATTTTTTTTGGATAAAAAATATTGACATATTGTATTTTGATAAGCCAGTTTATAATAAGAGTTTATTGAAAAAATATTATGTCAATGGTGTGCCTTGTTCTACATTTTAAGATTACGATTATAGCTTACCCCCATATATCTGTATTATGACATATCTACGCTTAGTGTTGATATTTGTGCTTCATAGATGGTCAACGGATTCTTCTTAGAGAATGAACAAGTGAAATTAATAGGCTTTAACGAAAGAGAACTTCTGGCTTGCTTCAAGCTATAGGACATAAAACTTAACAATGTTTACAACAACATCAAGCCTTCATCCCACTGCATGGGGTCGGCAACATGAAACATTTTTCTCCATTGTATCCTATTTAGAGTTAAATTTTCATTTAAATCTAATAAACAAAAGATCATCTCTAATAAAAATTAACAAAGTTTAATTTTGCAAATTTCATATCGACAAGCACTGTGACACTGATATCATGTGGTAGACAAAGCTCACTTCATTGTATTAATGTTTTACGAATCTAAGAGATATAATGATTTTCAAAATCAACTGTTTTAAATAGTTCACAGAGCTAACAAGCATATAGAGAATAAATCTAAATAATTTTTACAACAGACTGGAACTTAGGGAGTGAACAATTAGAAGTTTCAAAACATACCCTTGAATAACTTCCTTCAGATGGATGAAACATGTCCTTGGCCATACTTAATTTTGCAATTTTTGTTGCAGCTTGATCACGCACAAAAGGATGATCCATTAATTGAGCTGCTGTTGGTCGATTAGAAGGATCGCGTTGTAAACATGACATTACAAAACTCTTAGCTTCAGAAGAAAGGTGATCCGGGATATCTGGTATATCTTTGCTATTCCCAATTTTAAATATTGCAGCCACCTGTGGTAATCAGAAAAACAATAAAGTTAGTTTCCCATTAAAACTTAGAAAAAATCTTATACATGTTCTGAGCAAATAAATAACGCACCCCTTCAAATCTACTCCACGGAGGTTTAGAAGTTGCCATCTCAAGTACTGTGCATCCGAGGCTCCAAATATCTACTGAGAGGTTGTATCCATTTCCGTTCATGATGACCTAAATTTTGAATTTTTTATATTAGATTATTGTTGAAGAATCAACATATATTGTAAGCAAAAACTGTGCAAATAATATCAGGGATGACTAACCTCAGGAGCCATCCAATAAGGGCTTCCTTTAAAAGATCGAATTGATGTATAAGAGGATATCTGAAATAAAAGAGAATAAATTCAACAAATAAGGACAACGAATCTCTTCTGAGAAAGAAGAATCTAAAATACACAACAACAAACTATCAATAGGTGCAAAATAGGAATGTCTTCTTAAAGAATGTATTAATTTACGAATGATTATGAAATATCTTTTATTTTTATTTTAAACGAATTTTCCAAATAGTGCAATTCTAATTCTCACTCAGCAATAATAATGGATTTTCCAGATAGCGCACTTCTATTTCTCTCTCAACAATTTGCAAAGCTAGACAATTCATGATAATACCACACACACATACAATCATGAATGTGCACGAATGTATGCTTGTATGCCTTCATTAGAATATAAAAAAGCTGAATGAGGAAGGATACGCTTATTTATAACAATATTACTGGCCCATTAACTTAGAGGCATTGCCTCTCACTTCCAAAGGGAGGTCAGAGGTTCAAATCACCAGAAAAAATACTTCACGATAATAATAAATGTCAATGTTTATTCAATACGATAATACAATTAATCAAGAAGAGGGTAAAGATTCATTGAACATACATGTTTGGCCATGCCAAAATCAGCAAGTTTGACCTCTCCATTAGGATCAACAAGTATGTTTGCTCCTTTGATATCCCTAAACATATAAAGAACATTATAAGTTCATATGCAAAAATAATAAATAAATCATTTTCATTCATTTGATTACAAATAAACAGTAAGTTACATTTGAACAATATTGATAAGAAGCAGCACCTGTGCATTGTGTTTTTCCCATGCAAATAAGCAAGTCCAGAAAGAATTTGTGCTGTATAGTTCTTGATAATAGGTTCCCCAAATGAGCCATATTCCTGAAGTAACTTATAAACTGACCCCCCTGAGACATATTCGAGATAAACTGAAAGTGTGTCATCGACCTGCATTAAAAAAAATCAAAATAAAAAAATTAACAATGACATCCAATCCTCGCCAATGTTATGTTTGTCTGAAAAAGAAATCTAGGACGTCAGGAATTCAATTATATATTTCAAAGAAAAATGAAAGCACTCAAGTCAAAAATAAATAAATACAGAAGATGTAAGTCTAATTTGGAAGCTGATGCGGACCTACTAACAGATGACAGCAGTAGAGCTTTGGCATTATCTGGATCGTTCTTGGGAAGAAGATGTTGCTTAAATATCCTCTTGGAATTATTGTGGTGTTGAGCGGTAGAAGCTTGGACTTATCATCTAATTTAAACTTGTTTTTTGTTTAAGATTTGCTACGGGGATTTACATTTAAAAGATGAATTCTTTTCTAAACTTTGGGATTATAATTTAAACACTATAAATAGTTACTCTAAAGCAAGTAATTGATAACATTTGACTTGAATTTCTTTTTCAAGTTGCGATCTTATGAATAAAAGGTGGATGCGTGATTTCTTCCGTAAGGCACAAATGGAAAAATGAGATTCCAGAGGAAGTCATCTCTTTGTATTAGCAAAAAGCATGTCTTTCCTTTTTATTTTCCTTTTATCTCTTGTTTTATTTCTAAAACATTATTTGATAATGACTTGTTTAGTGATTTGATTTTCATAAAAAATTTCGCACATTGGAAATTCAAATTGTGGAAATTAATTCATTGCTCTTGGTAATTTTGTTGAAATTCTAGGTTTATTTTGATCATTTTATTATCATTTGGTTTTGAACTCAAATATTATTATTTATATTTAAATAAAGTTGTTTATACTTGCAATAGATGAATCCTCAAATTTTTTTACATAAAAATATACAGCCTATCATATTAAGTGGATAAGGAAACTTTAATCATCAGTCTCCTGCAATAGAAGTAACAAATGAGATAACGATAGAGAGCATTTGGAGTAATTGGGGTTTTCAGGAAACCATTATATAGGACTCCATTAAAAGGTGTACTATGCTTATTTTTCTATCTTAAATCCCAAAACAATTGCAATAACCTTTTCATGCAATTGTATAATTATGTGAAACAACAAATTTTCACACTATAATAAATTAAAGACAAACTATTTCCTATCATATAAGGATGAGCAAAAAAGATTGAACCAAGCTACCCAAACAAGGCGGCTATTATCGGTGTACATTAAACAAAGAAAATGACTCATCAAGAGATTATATATATATGAGTAGAGCCTAAATATTGTTGTACATCGAAATGTTCAATTATCTATTTCCTGAAATATTTAATTATCAATTCGGCCACTTTGTAATGGCAATACCTTTAGATATAATTTCAAGATTATTATTCTTACCATATAAAAGAACTAAGTATCATACAATAACTTCATTATTCATACTGCTGTTGATTGATAATTTTTGTTTTAGCAATCATGTCAAAGCTTTGGTCCTCATGACCAACAAAACAAATAGGCTCATGATCAATTTACCCACACATCTCCCCATCATTTGATCTGCATGTGATGGATAATAACATATGGTGGTATCTAGGTGCCTTTTTCAAATAAATGATGGTCATAGAAATGGAGAAAGCCTCGCAACCTCATCCAATTAACCAAGAAAATCTGGCAATGATGCCTGTATTTTGTGAGTTAGCCTTTTGTGGAACTCCCTACTTCTCGTATAACGGTATAAGGTTGCACCTGTTGACTCCATAAGCTGATGTAACTAATGTATATCTCATCATTGATTTGATGATGGTAAATATTGTGTGGCATCATCAAATGATCTGCTAAGTATTACTGAGGTTAATCTTATTTTGCCAACTATGAAAAAGATGGTGATTTCCGCTAAAGCTTACTTACAGGATTCATCACCTGAAGGATGAGCTCAAAGATACAAGGCAAGAAAACTCAATTGAAGAATCAATGCTCCAAGTGTAATTTAGCTTATTGTAATTAGATTTATTGTATTTGATAGTCAATAAACTTACCAATTGCCTTAATGATTAAAAATTAATTAGGTATACTCAAAACTTATTTTAAATGATAAAAGATTTATCTCATAATTATAAAGAGATTCTATATATATTAGAATACTTCTCAATTTATTGATATATAAAAATTATTTTAAATATAATTTTATTTAGTAGGCATATGCTTAATTAGATCATCATTATGATGTTGATCACTTGTATATTTGCAAGTTTAATGGGCACTAAAGGTTTCATTATATGCATTGAATTTTCTTAATTAAGTTTTATTTACTATTTATTTTATTAATTACCAAATTAAGGAAAATATACTTAAGTATAATATCAGAAATTATTCCTCGTAATTTTCTTTTTGTACTGATGTCATTTTCTGGCCATCATAGTATGCTTTAAAAAAAAAAAAGCACCACTACTTTAGTTACAAAAAAAAAGTACAATAGAAAAATACAAATTCATATACTTGATTTAACCAGCTATCAATATCATCCACCCTAATCCTGACAACCAAAATTTAGGCCAAGCACCATAAGCATATCAATCTTAAATAAGTTTCATGCCGCAAGATATTTCAAAGTACTTAAGGAGCTTTAGATTACATATTCACAACTGTTTGCACTAAATCTATATTTTCAATTGTTAGTTTATTGATGCAGGAATAGCATGGATATATATTATATTATAGCATTTTAAGAGATAGGAGAAGTAAGGTGGATTAGATATTTTGATAAGTTTTTCGATGAAGATTATGAGAATACGATTGACTTTAGTGACCTTAGCACCTTAAATGAAATAGCTCCAATGGAAGATAACATTAGAGAGAGTCGCATTAGATGGTTTGGTCACATAAAACATCATCCTTTTGATGACCCGGTTAGGAGAGTAGATGTATTAGATTTAGCCTATGTTAAGAAAGGTAGAGAAGACATAAAAAAACTTACTTAGAAAATATTAGAAATGACATTTTTTTATTTGATTTAAATGAGATTTGACTCTTACACGACAATGACTCATGTAGCCGACCCCACATAGTGGGATAAAAGCTTGATGATGATGATGATGTTGTTGTTGTTGTACTTTAGAGACACTACTATTGCATTTCTTTTCTTAGTTGATGTTAATCCATATTTATCTTTATTTTAATTGTCATAGATAATACTATCATACATAAATTTAGGATAACTTTAATTATTTATTCTTTATCTTCTAGGGTCTTGTATTATAAATGGATATTTAAGAGTCATATAATAGTTAGTTATGATTATTAGAATGAAAAATATGATTAGCATGGTTCATTCTCATCTTAGGTTGAGTGACCAATTCTTCTTTGCTCTTCCTCCTACCTCAGCTTCTTCAAGGTGTTGACCTCGTTTTCGTCTTGATTTTTCTTCGAGCACGTTCGAGCGAGTTGATCGAGTCTAGTCGAGTTTGATTTAATTTAAATCGGCATTGATTTGAGTTTGATTTGTATAGAATTGGTTTGGTCGAGTCGAGTTGAGCTGTTTTGATCCAAAATCGATTTAGTTTAAGTCGAATTAAGTTCGATTTGAGTTCAAATGTTAACCCAAGCCAGCCCAATTTAATCTCAATTAAAGTCCAAATAGCTTTCTAAATGATTTTGGATCTCCATCCAAATCAAGAAAATGGCTCAACGGCTCTGATTCTACCCAAAAGCCCGAGCCCATTTCGGAGGAGGTTCAGATGGCTTTAGGTAGATCGAAAATGCCTAGCTCCTTTCTGATGCTTCTTTTCGCGTGGAATCGAGCGGGATCTCTCTGGACTGGTGTAGAGAAAAGCTCCATCCGCGGTTTTGACTAGGGCATTCGCTCCTTCTCCCTTCCTCGACCGATCTGCTCTCTGTTTCGCATAAGCAAGAGGGGCAGAAGCCCCCCCCACTCGGGCTTTCTCTCGGATTTTCTCCCATTTTTGCAGAGCCCAGGCGAGTTTCTCCCCCTTCTTCCTCTCTGGGTTCGCAGAGACCAAGAGCCCGAAGCCCCTTTCTCTTCTTCCATTCCGATGTCCCGACTCCTCCCACCCTTCGGTTCAGAACCAGCAAGCTCGAAGGCCATCCGACCCCCCTCGCCAGAGCCAAGTCCTAAACGGAACTCCCATTCCTCCTCTCTCGCTCACGCCCTAGCAAAAGCCTCTTTCTTTTCTTCCATTCGGACATCCCGCCTTCCTCTGGTTCGTAGAGGCTGAGCTTCCCCTCGACTCCATTTCCTCTTCTCGTGTGAGCCAGAGGACCGAGCTCCTGCTCCCGTCGCTCCTGCCTTCATCTGTCCAGAAGCCCTCTCGCCTCCTCTCCTCTCTCCATTTTTCGGTGGGTTCGCACAAGACAGGAAGGAGCAGAAATCTCTCCCGAGTCTTCCCGATTTTTTTTTTCTACTCGCGCAACCAGCAAGGCCGAAGCCCCCATCTCTTCCAGCTTTCTCTAGTTGGCAGCCCTAGACAAACTGAAGACCCCAAATCACAAGCAGCCATGGGCCACCCTCTCATTGGAATAGCTGAACCGACCTCCCTTGCTCTCTCAGATTCACGGGAAACAAATGACCTGCAAGCTTCCCGGCTAATTTCCCTCTCTTGTCTCTCACTCACGTCTAAAAAAGAGAAGGTTTGCTCTCTCCCTTTGATGGCACTTGGTGTTTGAGAAGTTGAGAGCTCAAATGTGTGCAACCTGGTAGAAGAAACAAGAGAAGTTGAGCCGGCTGGATCCTTTTTCCCTTAGCAAAACCTTGGCTGCAACTCTCCAATCAAAAGAGAAGATGAAGGGATCTACTGTTCACAAAGCTACAGTAGCTAAGAAAAAAAAAGAAGAAGATAGAAGCATGGCTCTTTCATGTGTCTATAGCTGCTAGAGCAGTTTTTCAAGCCAAATAGAAGAAGAAAAGCTACTGTTCATCATTCCAAGTGAGGAAAACGTGAAGATGGGGTTAATCCTGAGCATTTCGAATAAAGAGAGTTTACTGTTTGCTCCTGCTGATTGAAGATTCACTGAAGGTGGATGCACCTTGACCCATGCGAAGCAATACGCCATGATCCCCTACGACATGAGTAAGGGTATTTTTCACCTGCTTATTTATTGTTCTTTCACGAATTTATGATGTATATATACAATTCACAAAATGAGCTTGCTCTAGTTGTAAACTTCCCTGTACAGATGAATCTTTGTTTGTGATTCCAGTTTCACAAGAAAGATGACAACATTTCTCTAATTCACAGCACTAACATATAACAATTATTACCATTAGTTATAAATAGTATAAAAATGATATCACTTTTCATTAAAATAATGTATAAATTACATTTGAGAATGTTCCTAGACGCATGAGTTGAAGCTAGTAAAAGGCTTAGCATTTCTATCATTTAGTAAATTACACTGCTTTTGCAAGTCATTGTTGTTAATAAATTGCATTTCAAAACCATTTTACCGTTGTAGAAAAGGATACTAAGAATAAAATTAATTAATGGATCAAAATGTTACCAGCTCACTGCCATAATATTGCACAATGTTTGCATGTGAGAGCTGACTAAGCAAATTTATTTCCTGAGAAATGATAAAATAAGCAAAATCAATATGATTGTATAGCATGATACCAAAACACAAAAGATGATCACAATGAAGGCAGTTCTCTTTAGAAAGAGAAAAAGAATATTTAGTTAAATAAACAAATAAAACGTAGTTGCCTACCTGATTTAGTTGCTTGAAAGATTCTTTGGAATGGGAATCATCAGATATGACAGGGACCTCTTTAATAGCACACATTTGCCCACTTTCACTATCATATAAGTTAGAATAATCAATTTTCCATTATCGGGAGGAAATAAACTTCTTAAAACATTAAAATAAATGGCATAGTTAGTGCATGAGACTCCTGCCAATGCTAAGTCAGGGAAGGGATTCCTCGTGCAAGCTTTACCATACATGCCACATAGGTTATTACCCTGATTTGAGCCCGAGATATCCAAGTCACTATGGAGGCAAGATAACCTTAGCTCTAGGCCGGTCCTCTATATAGAGGATTCTAAATGTAAATGTAAATTCTATATCTAGCTCTTCTAAACAAGCTCAACAACTGCAGACTTCTTCAGCCTTAATTTCAAATTTACAAGCTTGTGATAAGAGAAGGAAGCTAGAAATACCTGTTAAATCCAATATAAACATGTCCGAAAGTTCCTCTACCCAACAACTTTCCCTTCTTCCATGATGATTGAGAAGGCCGTGAAGAAGAAGTTGGAGAATTAGGTAAGATTGGAGGCAAAGGCAGTGGTTGAGGCGGGCTCCTTAGACCATCTTGCATACCTGTGGGTGATCCGGGACAGACACAGACTGCACCTGAATGCACAGGGGATATGGAAAAAGGAGACACTCGTGAAATAGGAGCACAATTCACAGGTCTGAGATTAAACATGCTCTCTGGATAAGTTACAGCCGGAGAACAAACATTAGCATTTGCTGATGCATTGAATCCATGTAAGTGAATTTCCTTTCTCGGCGATACAGGTATCTCAGGGTTCCTTGAATGCTCCAAAACTGGATTAAGGGGTAAGAGATGTCTGGCTTCAGCCACATGCTGATGTCTTTGCGAGCCTTGTAAAACAGGCCTGCCCCTTGCCGTGTTTATGGGATCTGTAATTCTGAAGTGTCATAAAAAAAGGTGAAGATACATAAGGTTCAAAAAAGAGAACCGTTCATGCCATAGAGTTTCATACAGTTGAATTTAATACAGAAAATTTCTCAAAAGATCAAACAGGTTAATGGACTACTGTAACACAATTAAGACGGCAATGGCATCGCAAGCAGCCAGCTGCATCTAATCAATGAGTGTATTACGAATCATGATATCATCATAAGATGACCTGCTTCAGCAAAAATTAAATGAATTCTAATCCAAAAGAACATGACAGATGATAATATCAGGAGAATGAAAAATGGAAAAAAAAAAATTGCAAAAACACATGCTTAAAAGCGATCAGAAATCGAGAAAACGAAATAAGGGAACCAAATTTAGCATATTTCCTATTTTTAGACACTTATCTGACCTCACAGATCACAAGAAGTCCATTTTAAAAAAAAAAACTACCCTAAATAAACGCCCAGTCAATAAATCCACTAAATAACCACATCACCGCTTGCGACCAACCATATATACCACTCCTGTTACCGGGCATCAACTCTGATCGAGTATATGGCACAACCGCAAGTTCGAAATACCGACCTTCCCTTCCCCAAAAACATATGTAATCACCCGAACACTGCAGTGGCTAGAACCACAAACCCTAATCAAACCATCGACGAAAAATCATCCCAGAGATGAAAATAGCCTTCCAAGCGAGATCAATTACCTGTAGAAACCAAGATCAGGAGTATCATCGGACGATCCCGACGAGCTGACGCTGGAGGCGGAAGCCGAACCTGACACGGCCGCTATCGCGAGATCAAGCGGCGGTGGAGAAAGCAGTGGCGAGGAAACGAAGGGGCGCGGCAACGGATGTCGAGACGCAAAAACGCCCTTTGAATCTCCGTCGCAGCTATTGGAGATAACGCCTGCGGCAGATTCATTGGCCTCACTAGCTCGAATAACCCCATCAAAGCTGTTGGCTTTCCCCTTGCTCGGCTCCCACCAGTGTTTGGGAGTCAACGAGCAGTCTACCTCCGCTTCAACTTCCCTCAATCCAGGGTTCTTCCTTGGTGTCGATTCGGAGGCCGATGAAGACTTCTTCGCCTTCGATTTAGACTTCCACCAAGCCGGCATGTCTCGATTGATCCCGAGCTCGAGACCGCGTGAGAAAGAGAGAGAGGGAGAGAAATAGAGAGAGAAGGGAAAGGAGGGGAGATTTATAGTTAAAAGAGAAAGGGACAATAAGAAATAGTGTAATAGAGGGTGACAGCACAGCGGCAGAGCCGGCGAGGGAAGTAAACCTTGAGAGTCTCTCACGTGGCATTTGAGTATTGAATCTTCCTTGACTTTTGCGGGCGTCTGTATTTGCCAGGTAGGGAAGGCCGGTGCGGAAGCTTGCGCTGTTAGTTCGCGGACAGAGGTGGCGCGACCGTTTCAAATTTTCTGGTCATGTAAAATTTTTGGACTAAGAAGAGCTTAAATAAGGATTAATTAAAAGAAGTGTGATTAAAAATTTTTAAAGAAAAAAAAAACGTCAAATATTTTAGCATTTTCTAAAAAAATGTTAAATTATTTGGAATTTTGTTAAAGAAAATATATTTTGTCAAATATTAGTTATATAAAATGAGAGAATAATCAACAATTGTTGGTGGGCGCGACGCAGCACAAAAAACTATCCAAATGATATCTGACTGTCAAACAGACTGCACCGATGCGATTAAAATATCAAATTTATCTAAGGACCTTGTAGTTGAATTGAGTGAAGGTTGTCGATATCGATGGTTTACGAACGAAACATTATGCGGCGTTGCCCAAACATCCTCTGTTTGCAAAACAGACTTCATTGTTGCATCTGGAATGTCGAGAATTCTCCGAAAAAACTATCATTTTGTATGGGTCATTGTGTGAGATTCCCGAGAGAAGAGGGAAGGAGAAGGAGAAAGCAGAGAAGGCGAAACAGATAAATGTAAAGTATATTATTATGAGCAGCTTAGATGCAAGTATATAGAGAGTAAGGTAGGTAGAGTTGTAAATATATGTTGGTACAAAATATGCTAAGATGAACCATATGCTCACATCCTCCCACAAATTAATCATTCAGTGTTTGAATGGTTAATTTGGAGCGAATGTGGTTATAATGAGTACAAGAGAATGGTTTGGTTAGGATGTCGGCTATTTGGTCTTGAGATGGAATATGCTAAATATGAATGTTGCAATTGGAGATGTGCTGACGAATAAAGTGGTAGTCGATCTCGATGTGCTTAGTCCTGGCGTGAAAGACAGGGTTATTGGCTATGGCGATAGCAGAGATGTTGTCGTAGTGTATAGTTGTAGGTGAGCTTTGTTCGAGTTGAAGTTTGGAGGAAAGACGACGAAGCAAAAGAACTTCTGAGGTTGTCGCGGAGAGGGCCCTATACTCGGCTTCGGTGGACGATTTGGCGATGGTGACATGTTTCTTGACTAACCAAGAAATGAGATTTTGGCCCATAAAGGTGCAGTAACCGGAAATTGATTTCCGATCGGAGTTGTGTGAAGCCTAGTCAGCATCAGTGTAGGTTCAAAGTTGAAGTCGCCCGATATGATGGGAAGGCCGAATGTCATAGTACCTTTTATGTAACGTAGGATGCGTTTGAGGCTTTGGAATTCTTGAACCGTGGGTTGTTGCATATGTTGGCATGCCCGATCAGTAGCAAAGGCAATGTCGGGTCTTATGATTGAGAGATACTAAAGTGCGCCAGCGAGACGACGATAAAGAGATGGGTCGTGGAATAGCTGGATGTTGCTCGGTCGGTGTGATGATGCTGGAGCAATAGGAGTCGATGATGCTTTGCAGTGATCAAAACCGGCATCTTGAATGAGTTTGTTGGCATAGTTTTCTTGAGTGAGGAAGTAGCCTTTGTTAGTTTGTAGAACCTGTATACCGAGGAAGAGAGAGATCTCTCCGAGTTGTTTGAGTGTGAATTGTGAGTGAAGATCGTGTAGTAGTGCTCGAATGCTAGCAGGGTCATTTCCTGTGATAAGAATGTCGTTGACATAAATAAGTAAATATATATGAATGCAATCCTTTGAAAAAACAAGAAGGGTGGGGTCGGAGCAACTAAACCCGAAGCTGCGGGGCGCCTGTTTAAGACAGTAGAGTGATTTATGTAATTTGCAAACATAGTTGGGTTGTTGTGGATCCTCGAAGTCAGCGGTTAACGCATGTAGATATCATCCAGTAGATCGCCATGTAGGAAAGCATTGGAGACATCTAACTAGAGCATTGGTCATTGGCGGTTAACGGCAAGAGTGAGGAGCGTGCAGATTGTAGGCATCTTTGCGACCGGACTGAAGGTTTTTATGTAGTTCTCGCTGAACATTTGGTCATATCCTAAAGCAACTAGACGAGCTTTGTGGTGATCTATTTTTCCCGTGGGTAGCAATTTGGCTTGTATGTCCACTTACAACTGAGAATTCTCTTCTTTGACGGAGTGGGAACGAGTGACCAGGTCTTTTGCATTTGCAGTGCATTGAATTCTTCGGCCATGGCAGCATGCCAGTGTTCATGTTTGGACGCTTGCTTATAAGATGTGGGTGTAGGAGGAGGATTGGTGATGTTGAGTAGTGTGAAAATTTGCTTTGGTTGCTAGCTGCAATTGGAGGAGAAGTCTCTGTATGGTGATTATGAGGGGGTTTTGTGGACGGTGTAGTTGAGGAATTGGGTGGAAGAAGGGAATTAGATAGTGTGGATGTTGGAACCAGTAGGAGAGGAGAGGGTATGTGCTGAGGGAGTTGTGGATTGGAAGTGTTAGACGAGTTTTGAGTGGTGTAAGGAAAGATACTTTCGTGGAACACAACATGTCTAGATATATGAGTTTTGTGAGTGGCCAGGTTGTAGCATTTGTATCCCTTTTGATGAGGTGAGTATCCAATAAAAACGCATTGTTGAGAGCGAGGGGAAATTTTGTTTGTGGTGTAGGATTGAAGCCAAGGATAGCAAAGGCACCCGAAGGTGCGCATGTGTGAATAGGCAGGGAGTTTATTGTAAAGAATATGGTGAGGAGATTTGAGAGCAAGTGATTTGGATAGAAGGTGATTTATTAGATAATTTGCGGTGGCCAGGGCGTCGGTCCAGAAGTGATTGGGAAGTTGAGAGGCATGTAGGAGCATGCGGGTAAGGTCTAGAAGATGTCGATGCTTACACTCGGCTAGTCCATTTTGTTTGGGTGTATGTGGATAGCTTAGTTGGTGTAAGATACCTTGATCTTGTAGAAAGGAAGCAAAAATGGAGCTAGTAAATTCCCCTCCACCATCTGATCTGAAGGTTTTGGGCGTGGCATTGAACTGAGTTTGAATAAGACTGTAAAACAATTTGAACTTCATAAAAGTTTCTTTGTTTAGAATGCATAAAATATAGCCAAGAAAACCTCGTAAAATCATCAATAAAGACTACATAATAGCAAAAACCAGTGGAAGAAGGTGTTGGGGCCGGTCCCCAGACATCTGAGTGAATAAGCTCAAATGGATGAGAGGTGACCGTGCTTCTTGTATTGAAAGATTATTTGTGGCTATTGGCCAAATTACAGAAATTACAAAGAAATGAAAAAGAAATGTTCTTGAATTCAGGAATGTTATGAGCTAAGTGGTTGAGGGTCTGATGGTTCAGGTGTATGAGGTGAGCGTTCCAGGTTAATGAAGATGTCATACAAGCTTGAAGAGCTTGTGATGTGCTGTCCAGAGTCATGTTGATCTGATAGAGTCCATTAAGAAGATGTCCATGAAGAAGCATACGATGGTCCTGTAGGTCCTTAATTTCAAAGCCATTAGAATCGAAAGTAATTGAAATGGAATTATCTTTAGTCAATTTTGATACATATAGGAGGTTATGAGTAAGTGACGGCACGGGCACGTGAAAAAGATTGTAAAGACAAAGCTTACGATGGGTGTTCGATAGTGGAAGCAAACCTTGACCGTAGTTGTGGTTAGGTAGAGTGGATCTGTTTGCAATGGTGACAGATTCGTGGCCATGATAGGTGGTCGGTTGCTGTATGTTCGAGCTATCGGACGTTAAGTGTATGGTCGCTCCTATATCAAGAATCCATCCTTGCGGGACAGTTGGGGCTGGCTGAGCAAGCATTGCACGCGGGACATTAGGAATAGTTGGAGTGTACTTGAAATTGCATCTATGCCAGCAATTTATGGCAATGTGACCGATCTTGCCGCAGATTTGGCAAGTTGGTCGAGTGGGATTAGTGGTTGAGGTAGGAAAAGTTGAATCTCTGGTCTTAGACGACATGGGCGTAGCTGGCTTGTTCTTGAAAAATCATTTTTTACTACGATTTTGATTCTAATTTTACGATGTGGCGTAGAGTGCAGATGCGGACGAGATCGCTGTTTGATCTTTTTGGAGATCTTGAATGATGTGTATCTCCTCGCTGTAAAGAAGAGAATAGAGTGTATCGAGATCGGCGGGTAGAGTGGAGGTGCGGATAACGGTCTTGAATGAGTTATAGGTTGCCAGTAGACCATTAAGGATTTATAGAACTATGTCTTCCGGATCAATCTTTGTTCCGGAGGCGGCGATGTTATCCATGATGTTCTTGATTTGGGAGAGATATTGTTGCATAGTGAGATTGTTCATTTGAACATGGTGTAATTCGTTCTTGAGTTGAATCACACGAGAGCGACTCAAAGATTGTAGCCCGCATTCGAGTATTATCTAGACTTCCTTGGCGATCATGGACGTGATGACATAGGGTGGGAGAACTGGAGATATAGTTGAGAATAGGGTTGAGATAAGGTTGTTATCGATTAGGCACCACCGAGCATGTTCTTGCGAATTTGGATCTGTTGGCAGAGTTGTTTTGCTGGTGATGTGATCGACATAGCCATTTGCGGAGAGGTGCCAAATCGCATAATTCTTAGTAGTGAGAGAATGAGGAATAAGGTTCTTGATATTTGAGATGATAAATTTGAGGGATACCGGGATGGTGAGATCGGCGGATGTTTCGGCGAGCATGGAGGAGGCGGGAGGGAGGGAAGAAGCTGATTCTTAATCTCCCATTATCGGCTCTTAATACCTTGTGAGATTCTCGAGAGAAGAGGGAAGGAGAAGGAGAAAGCAGAGAAGGAGAAACAGAGAAATGTAAAGTATATTATTATGAGCAGCTTAGATACAAGTATATATAGAGTAAGGTAGGTAGAGTTGAAAATATATGTTGGTACATAATATGCTAAGATGAACCATATGCTCACACATTGAACAAACAAAAATGAAAAATTGCAGTGGCACAAATATCGAGGCAGCACACA